CTGTTCTTTGAGGTGAAGTTATATTCCACTTATATGCTCTTTATTAATAAGGTTTAATGTAAGCTCACATGCCCTGTTCGGTATTCATATTTTTAGAGTATTTAGAAATTAATCATTATGTTAATTAAGTCACTGGTTAATTAATCATGCTAATGTGTATATAAATCACCACATTTATTGTAATATTATTTAGTCTCAGTACCAATTTATTGTAAATAGACTCCCGCTTTCAATATTCAAATGAGATTGCTAAGCCTGCTCGAATTTCCCGCCACAGTAAGGCCTATTTTCCTGTACTACATACCCATGAATCACCTGACGCCGTGTTTGCTTCAATCGCATTTCCTATTGGCCATCGAATTCCTAGACCCCTCTAAACCACAATTGCATTTTTCAAAGTGTGAAGCCGGCGATCGGCGTCTGTCTGTCCACGGTCGGCGTCCATAACTCACGGTGTATTCCGTTTCTCGTATCTCGGGACATTAATTGCCCATTTTACCTCTCTTAAACGTATTTTTAGGCTATAGATTAATTATATCTGGCCTCCCTCTCCTCTATAGTACATTTAACTATATATACATTTTAATTTCCCCCTTTTGTTTGTGATTAAATTACTTAAATTGTGATCTAGTGCTTTCAGACTCTTCAAACCTCAAGACAGTGTGTGCGCGTCCGTGTATTACTTCTAGACTTTCCGTACGTTTTCACCGCGACTTCCGCGTATTAGTGAGCTCTTTGTGATTATGAACTTGGGTGCGTTGCGTTCTCCAAAATTCTACAAAACAGAAGCACTCGGTCTAAGGACTCCGCCATCCGCCCTCGCTCCACCATAGACGACGCCGCTGCCATACTCTCCACCTTTGGATAATTGGACGCAAGGTACAACCTTAAAGTTTTGTGTGTGTTTTAATTAGACTCTAAAACTAATCTCATTTGCCCCTCACAAGACATTTTATTCCATCTCGGGACCTCAGTGCCCTTCAAATTGCAGATTCGCCATTTTCTCTAATTTAATTATTTTTCTCTTGAACTATTAATTAGTTCTGGTCCTTCGAGTTATTAATTATTTTCATTTTCACCCATTACGCCCCCAACATTTGGTCCTTCGAGCCGGATTCATTGTCTAAAGTCCTGTGGTAATTAATTTCAGCCAATTTTCATCATCAACCATATTTTTAGCGATCTGCAATTTTCAATTTTCGCCATATTGGTAAAATATCGGCTGGCGTTCGTTCCGTTCGTGGGCGTGGTTTAGCAATCTCTCTCCACTCGCGCGTCTGCGCAGGTCACAATCATAATCATGTACAATTTGCTGTTCTCTCTAGTAGTAGACAATTTTTCCCTACTTGGCTTTTTTATCCCGAAAACGGGATTTAGTTTTAGTTGCGGGATTTAGTCGCGTGCAGACGGCCGACACTAGTAGCAGACGCATATCTCAACTGTCACTCACTGTACAGCGTTTGTTGTTGTTTACATTTTCTCATTTAAGGTGTATTGTGTAATAAGGTTGATTGATATTATTAATAACCAACTATTAGGTTATTATTAGGTATTTACTATTATTCTTTGAATCAATATTGCTCTTTTGAATATCATACTAAATAAACAATAATTTGTCATTGTTATTTAACATTGTTTATGCTTTCTGAATTTTGATTTTAAATGAAGTAAAGTTAAATTAGTTCATCTCTGTAATTTTGGTTGACAAACGTGCGATATTATATTTAAGGTAATTTTATCTTGTCAATTAACATTTTAATAAATAGTTCAAAATAACCGTTTTTACTGGTTCTTATTACTAGTGTTGTACATATAAACAAAACTGTTAGCTAGCGTATTTGTATTGTGATTCATATTTCATTGATGGTTATAATTTTATGTTCCTTTCTCATTTATTAGGGTAATAACTTACTCTTTATGTTGCAATTCTTGTTTACTAAGGATTATTCTACACTGTTTCATTAAATAAGGCCTACTCTCATTAAACTTATTTAGATCCATTTATTATTTTTGTAAATAACGGTGAACTTTCATGTGACTCATTCATTTGTTCTATCATATCTCTTGTTTTATTGTGCATTATTTTTACCGTACTTGAATACTTTCAACTAAGCTCAATTGTTGATTTATAGTTTGAAAATCGAATTAAACCTGCCACACTCATTTAAAAATATTTTATTGCTATTTAACGTGTTGATAACTTAGTGTTTTTCACTATTTGCCTCAATTAAGCTACAAAGTAGGTGGATATATGTTTTAGATATTTATAATATTTTGTCTCTATATTATTCAGCGGACAATTAATTACTACATTGTTAAGCTAATACCATTCATAGGCCTAGCTACAAGCCTTTTGTGTACCCACAACTTCCATTTTCGTGTGAATACTTTCAAGTGAACACTTCACAATGCCTCCTAAAGCATCTGATTTTAAGTCCGCAATCTACACCCGTTCTACGGCGCTGATTAAATCACGTTTTGAAAAACTTAAGGCTACAGTAGATGAATTATCAACTCAAATCGACCCTCTAACACCATTACAACTTAAGAAATTATCCGCTTACGCGTTGGAAATAAAAAAGAAACGCAGTGAATTTGAAAATAACCTTCAACGTGCCTTCGTTCTGGAAGATGAAGGGATCGATGATAAGACTCTTTCCAATGATCAAGATGCTATTGAAGACATGTTCTCTCACATTCAAGCTACGATTGAAACCCTGGTTCCCTCAGAACCACCAAAAACCCCTTCCGCGTTCAGTGAATCGTTTTCTGTTTCAGAAACTCATCCAAGCTCACAAGTACGATTACCTAAACTGGACTTACAAAAATTCTCTGGCGATCCATTAACGTGGACAAGTTTTATCAATCTTTTTGACACTGCAATCCACCGTAATGCTTCATTATCCTCTGTTATGAAATTCCAGTACTTACTCTCTGTCTTAAATGGAGAGCCTCTCAATTTAATAAGGAGTTTAAATCTCACCGCTCCTAATTATCTAGTCGCCTATGAATTGTTACGTGACAGATATCACAACAATCGAAGATTGCAATCATTGCATCTTAACCAATTGTTGGACCTGCCAAACATTACGGCAACTTCACTCAAAGGTTTGCGCCAATTTGTAAACCTGTTTACGGAACACACACAAGCTCTTAAGGCATTAAATTGTGACGTTAGTGACAACAACCCCCTATTGTCCGCACTCCTTTTGCGTAAAATGGACCAGGAACTACGTAAAAAACTTGAATCGTTCCGTTCCAGTCAAACCGAAGATCCAGTTACTCATTCATTACCAGAAATTGGTGAAATAATAAAATTTCTTAACCAAGAATGTTCGCAGACAGAAGATGCTAACATACATAACATGTCATCGGCCCACAGAAGCGTTCAACCTTCACCTCACAAAACCATACCAAAAAAGGTGCATTTCCGGTCTGACGTAGGCCTAGCCATGTTAGCTACTTCGAGATCTAATGCTCCCCCCTCTCATAGCTCTCAGACTAAAAATAGTCATGTCTATAACAAATGTTTTGTTTGTAACAAAAATGATCACAAAGTTTACACTTGTGACGTATTTCAAAATAAATCTCCTCGAGAGCGACACGCCATTGTTAAAAAACATAATCGTTGTTTTTCTTGCTTGGGTGAACATAGCTCCAAAGAATGCCGCTCTCAGTTCACTTGTCGCACATGTAAACAGCGACACCACTCTCTCTTACACCTTGGTGATAATAATCAAACCTCTCAGATGTCTTTTCGACCTCAAGGTCAAAGAACTTCCCCGACCACTTCAGGTCCATCTCACACTCAGACTGGTGATGTTAATTCACAAGCCTCTATCTCCGCCACTGTCGCGGATGTAAGCAATTATTCTGCCCAAAATAACTCATGTACGACTTCGGGTAATTATACTGTATTACTCGGCACCGCCTTGGTCAAGTTGACTTCCCCTCAGGGTATCTCTCATGTGTTTCGTGCTCTACTAGATACTGGCAGTATGTGTGATCTGCTCTCAGAACGCGCTGCGAATCTCCTGAATATAAAACGCCAGTCTTCTCAACTCAAAATATCTGGTCTTTCTCAAATGGCTTCCTGTACTAAAGGGTCAACTTACTTGAATCTTGAAACTCTCTCAGGTCGAGTAATAGCCACTGACCATCAATTCCATATTCTTGATAAGATTTCCGTCGACTTACCTCGCTCCCCTATATCACCGGAAGTGCTAACAAAAATCAAGCCCTATGTTCTAGCTGATCCTACTTTTCACTTGCCTGGTGGCATTGACGTGCTTATAGGTAGTTCTCTGCTACCCCTCCTCTGGACTCATGAAAGTTACTCCCTCGGCACGCACATGCCTCATGTGATAGGTACTCATCTTGGCTTTATTCTGATGGGTAAAGCTCCCTGTGCAACTAACTCGGAACCCGTGTCAGGTTTTGCAATCTCTCTTCTCTCTGTTAGTGATAATTCACTACACTCTTCCCTGCAACGTTTTTGGCAACAGGAGGAACCCCCTCACTTCCAGGTTAAGTCACAGGAAGAGCTTCTTTGTGATGAATACTATAAAAAATCACACTCTCGTGATCAATCAGGTCGTTATGTTGTGCGACTTCCGTTCAAGACGGACCCCTCCATTCTAGGCCAATCTAGGCCCATTGCTGAAAAGCGCTTGTTGTCTATTGAGCAGAAATTTAAAGCTCAACCCCATTTTTCACACTTGTATAAGACGTTCATGTCTGAATATCAAACTCTCGGCCATATGACAAAACTAGATTTTGTTGAAGACATACACCCACACTACTTCCTACCTCATCATGGGGTACTGAAGGACTCTAGCACGACCAATTTAAGGACAGTGTTTGACGCCAGTAGCAAAACCAGTTCCGGTCACTCCTTAAACGATATTCTTTTGACAGGACGTAAATTACAAACTGACATTTGTGACGTAATTTTGAACTTCCGCTCTCATAAAATTGTGTTTTCATGTGACATTCGGCAAATGTACCGCCAAATACAAGTGCACCCTGACGATCAAAAGTTTCAACTGATTCTGTGGCGTGACGACCCTTCAAAGGAAATCTCTACGTTTCAACTTACTACCGTCACCTACGGCATGAACAGCTCCCCCTACCTTGCTATTAAAACTTTAATGCAGTTAGCGGAAGACGAAGGTGATGCCTTCCCTCAGGCTTCTCACTCTCTACGTCATCACACCTACGTGGACGACATTATCACGGGTGCTGACTCCGTTGAGGCTGCTCTTGAACTACAGGACCAACTTATCCAACTTCTACATCGTGGTGGCTTTGAACTTCGCAAGTGGGCCTCCAACTCCTCTGCTCTTCTAGAAAAATTTCCTTCGGAACATCTAGAGACTCCAAGTTTCCTGCAAGACGCTCAGCTTCCCCAGTACTCCATCCTAGGTCTCCATTGGTCTCCTGAAGAAGACTGTTTCTGTTACGCTTTCAACCCCCCGTCTGAAAAGCTGACTAAGCGCTCCGTGCTCAGCTTTATTGCCAAACTATATGACCCCTGTGGATTTTTGTCCCCATTAATCATGGTAGCAAAATGCTTCATGCAATTACTATGGACTCAAGGTCTTGATTGGGACGACCCTCTCCCTTCTGATCTCGCACATAAGTGGCATGTGTTCACTAGCAACACTAAAGACCACCTCGGTCAAATTAAGATCCCCCGAGCATTTCCGCTCGCTCACTCCTCTGATATCGAGCTTCACGGTTTCTGTGATGCATCGGAATGCGGTTATGCCGCGGTAGTGTATTTCCGGTGTGAATCTAGTGACAAAACAGTCATTGTGAAACAAATATTGTCTAAGACTCGTGTTGCCCCGTTAAAAAAGGTAACTTTACCCCGCTTGGAATTGTGTGCAGCTCACCTCTTATCAAAACTAGTGCATTATTGTGAAAAACAATTTAACTCTCTTACTACGAATACCACTGTATTGTGGAGTGACTCATCTGTAGTTCTTACTTGGCTACAAACCCCTCCATACAGACTAAAGACCTTTGTGGCTAATCGTGTAGCCCAAGTGCAAGAAATCATTCCCAGTTATCAGTGGCGGCACATAAAAGGGACGGAAAACCCCGCTGATTGTGCCTCACGAGGAATTCTAGCCTCATCTCTCATTGACCATCCCTTATGGTGGACTGGCCCACCATGGTTACATCTCCCTGCGGCCAACTGGCCCCCCTCATGTTTTTCGCCGTCTGAACTCACTCCCACGGACGAAATTAAAGAAACTCCTCTTAGTGTACTTAGTGCAACAGTCGCCCCTTTGGAATGGGACTTATTGTCTAAATATTCATCTTGGTTGAAACTAACCCGTGTGCTAGCTTATGTACTACGATTCATAAACTATTCCAGGTCTAAAAACAAACTCTCTGGACACTTAAAACTCAGTGAATTAAATCTAGCGGAAGTGACAATTTTTAAACTAGTGCAAAAACTCCATTTCAGTGCGGATATTAAATTATTGAACAAAGGCTCAGTATGTTCTGCACAATTACAGAAACTCACCCCCTTCCTCGACCCTAATGGTCTCATACGCGTCGGTGGCCGATTGTCACATTGTTCGCTTGCTCATGACATACGTCACCCTATTGTTCTACCCAAGTCTCATACTGTAGTGAATTTGCTTATAGACTTTTACCACCAGGTACACTTGCACTCAGGTCCGCAACTAACTCAATCACTACTCGCCCGAAAAGTGTGGATTCTATCGGCCAGGAGCGTTATCCGCTCGCGCATATTTAAGTGTCTTGTGTGCTTTAAAAATAAACCACGAAACAAAATTCCTCTAATGGGTGATTTACCTGCTCATCGGGTCAATCCTACTCGTCCATTCTCATCTACAGGCGTAGATTACGCCGGACCATTTAGTGTTCGCGTTTGCAGTCTCAAAGCTCTTAGACAGATTAAGGTCTATTTGTGTATTTTTATCTGCATGGCTACCAAAGCTATTCATATAGAGGTAGTCACCGATCTTACCACCTCAGGCTTCATTGCCGCTCTCACACGTTTTGTGTCGAGACGCGGACTCTGTTCCGATCTGTATTCTGACTGCGGAACCAACTTTGTTGGTGCAAACTCGGAATTACGCAAGGTAATCCGTGAAACCATCCTTGCACCTGATTCGCAGGACAAAATTGTTCATTTCACCACCCCCAAAGGAATTAACTTCCATTTCAACCCCCCCTCTGCACCTCATCAAGGTGGCTTATGGGAAAGTGCCGTTAAAAGTGCAAAATACCATCTGAAACGGGTAATTGGTGAAACCATTTTAACTTTAACCCAATTTCAAACTTTGTCCATTCAAGTAGAGGCAATGCTAAACTCGCGCCCTCTTACAGCTCTTAGTTCAGACCCTTCCGAAATTTCTGTGCTGACCCCTGGACATTTCCTCATCGGAGCTTTATTAGTTGCCCTGCCGGAACCTCACCTGTCTGAAGTGCCCTTCAATCGTCTTCGTCAGTGGCAGCTTGTCCAGGCTTTTCACCAGCGTATCTGGAGGCGTTGGCAGCTTGAATATCTCCACTCCCTCCAGCAGCGATCCAAGTGGACCACCCCTCATGAGAATTTGAAGACCGGAGACTTGGTGCTCATTCACTCCAATTCACCTCCACTCACCTGGCCTCTTGGACGCATCGTCTCCACTCACCCTGGCGCTGATGGAACAGTTCGAGTCGTCACAGTGAAGACAGCTTCTGGGACTTTCACACGGCCTGTTCACAAGGTCTTCCCTCTGCCATGCAATGAAGACTAAGTCCAAGAAACCTACTCTATGTACATATTAGATTTAAGTGTGGTTTACGTTTGCTCTTGTGTTTTTTAATTAATTGTCTGTTGAAGCTGTAATGCTTCAAGGGGGCCGGAATGTTCGGTATTCATATTTTTAGAGTATTTAGAAATTAATCATTATGTTAATTAAGTCACTGGTTAATTAATCATGCTAATGTGTATATAAATCACCACATTTATTGTAATATTATTTAGTCTCAGTACCAATTTATTGTAAATAGACTCCCGCTTTCAATATTCAAATGAGATTGCTAAGCCTGCTCGAATTTCCCGCCACAGTAAGGCCTATTTTCCTGTACTACATACCCATGAATCACCTGACGCCGTGTTTGCTTCAATCGCATTTCCTATTGGCCATCGAATTCCTAGACCCCTCTAAACCACAATTGCATTTTTCAAAGTGTGAAGCCGGCGATCGGCGTCTGTCTGTCCACGGTCGGCGTCCATAACTCACGGTGTATTCCGTTTCTCGTATCTCGGGACATTAATTGCCCATTTTACCTCTCTTAAACGTATTTTTAGGCTATAGATTAATTATATCTGGCCTCCCTCTCCTCTATAGTACATTTAACTATATATACATTTTAATTTCCCCCTTTTGTTTGTGATTAAATTACTTAAATTGTGATCTAGTGCTTTCAGACTCTTCAAACCTCAAGACAGTGTGTGCGCGTCCGTGTATTACTTCTAGACTTTCCGTACGTTTTCACCGCGACTTCCGCGTATTAGTGAGCTCTTTGTGATTATGAACTTGGGTGCGTTGCGTTCTCCAAAATTCTACAAAACAGAAGCACTCGGTCTAAGGACTCCGCCATCCGCCCTCGCTCCACCATAGACGACGCCGCTGCCATACTCTCCACCTTTGGATAATTGGACGCAAGGTACAACCTTAAAGTTTTGTGTGTGTTTTAATTAGACTCTAAAACTAATCTCATTTGCCCCTCACAAGACATTTTATTCCATCTCGGGACCTCAGTGCCCTTCAAATTGCAGATTCGCCATTTTCTCTAATTTAATTATTTTTCTCTTGAACTATTAATTAGTTCTGGTCCTTCGAGTTATTAATTATTTTCATTTTCACCCATTACGCCCCCAACATGCCCTGCTATATGTCTTCAAACATACAAACAAATTTTAATCAGCATTAAAACTATCGATATAATTTAATTTAGGTAATTGTTGAATGTTCACTAGTTTGTAAGCCAATTTATTTTTAACAAAATAACACCTGTATCTCCGTAAAGATTACATAAAATATTATTGTGGACTGATTGTTGCACTCCAAATAAAAAAGAAAAAAGCCGAAATAAATATTATAAATTTAGATATTGAATTTTCTCAAACAAAGATAAAGGTTGTTATATGGGTTAGTGTTGTTGTTAGAAATATACCTCTATTGATACATTCTAGAAAACTATATTTTTAATTGCAAGACCTAATTTTGCACGAAATTCGGAGACAATAGCTTATTCGAGTTTCAAGTAACGTGTATGCCTGTTTCTATAAAAGTTTATATTAAAGTCCAAATGTATAAATGAGAAATGTTTTATCACCTCGCCAAAGATAGTGCTAACATATACTATCTTTTTGCATAGTTTTTAGTTGCGCTGCAAGGAAGTTTACGAATTTTGGTGGTAAATAATTATAAACCGTGTCGATTTGCTTGTCTACAATGGCTGCTTTACAGAAGTTAAATCAAGATTACGAGACGAAAGATATTTGTTATTACGTTGCTTGGAGCTAATTATTATTTGTATATTTCTAGTATACTAACTCAGAGAGGATGCAATACGTTTTGAAAGAAGTGACTATGCACATTCATTGTAGGGAAACATATGTTAATGCACGAACCAGTAAATCTAGCACCCAGACATCCATTGCTGTTTTGTGATGTATATTACCATATTTTACACATTACTGAGGCCACGCTCGCCCGACAATTCATTGTCATTTTGACAATCATATAAGTTATAACAGTTATATTTAATGTTGATTATAATGAAGATTTAAATGTATTTTTTGTGACAGTTTAGTTGAGTTAATATAGTAATTTGAACACGTTTGATTAAAGTAGTTAATTGACGGGGTTTGTTTCACAATATGAGACTTCGCCTGGGTTGTTCGGGGTTGCTGTTTCCTCTATGTCCATTTCCACAGTATCTTTGGTGGCCTCGTCCACCTTAACCATAAGCCAATCTTCGGACTCTTGAGACGGGGCCGGCGAAATTTCACTCTGGAGGGGTTGTTCCTCTAACTGTCTTTCCAAGTCCTTTACGATCATGGGACCTGGACCATCTCCTTGGTGCAGAGCTTCAACTATCCTTCACTACTTCCACCCAATCATCTCCATCGTTGTTCTCCACTATTCCTTCCGAGGGCGAGAATAGCGAAAACGGGTTGAGCTTTTAAGGGCTCGTCAGATCAGTTTCGTATACAGAAACCAATTTTCGGTGCATATCCATACGATAAATTTTCAGATCAAACGGTTCGTCCTTAACATCCATCCCTTTCATAATGGTTTCGGCATAGTAGCATATGTAGACGCCACAATCCACGGTCGGGATACAAAAGACTAATGTTATAGATATTTCTAGAGTTTTCAAGAACATTTAGACCTATACAATTAGGAAGATAACCATTATTCATAATAATAAAATATGACAAATTTACTACTTTCAAGTTCCAAATCTCCCTTAATATTTAACATAAAAAAATATTTCTTATATATTTGTATCTCAATTTTTTGTCTAATTGAACAATAAAAAAAAAATCCGAGATAAAAGTTTATACCAAACACACTTAAAGAAAAGTAGTATACTCTATGATCTTTTACATTATACCTAATGCCTACACAATGCTCCCTGAAGTGAACACTGTGCTCGTGGTAGATTGTTTTGTTTCCCAACTCTGGGACAGTGGCAGACATAGTCTTCTCAGGGCTGTAGTTGTTGACAGAACTTAAACTTACTTTCTACTTCCTTCATATTACAGTTTCTCTGGGTTTTTCAATAAAGCCCCCCCCCCCCACAAGGGAATACGGTAAAGCATCGTTACTCATGGGAACTAAGTTTGTTTTAAAAGCTTCTTGCTACATATTTTGGTTATCTGTAATACAATTAAGTTTTCGAAGTTCTAGCATTGAAATTTGTCTATTTCTCAAATTTGCATAAGCAAATGTGATTTATACATTTCCCCCTAGTATAATTATATTTTAGAAATGATGTAGGTATTGTTCGTGTCGTCCTCCCAAAGTTAACTAGGTTAACTTTTTATATTTCACATTTCTTTCATGAATTCTCTGCTATCAATTTACAAGTAGTTTGAGGTAGTATTCTATCCTCATTATGGCTTTTTGGATCTTATTCTTTCTCCTGTGATGATATTCAGAGAGTTCATGAGTTATTGAACAGCAGGAATTCTCCGTGTGTGACACTAGTCTGGTGGTTGTTCTGTGTTGTATATTTGTATCACAAGACATCTTGCCATACACCTCAGCAAAATAAAAATTACCTGTGATAGTTTGTAGTAAACAAACATAGTTGTACCTAAACATACAACAAACATAGAACACATTACATTACAATACATTACAACATTACATACAAACATAGTTGTATCCAAAGAAACATACGACAGCGGGTCTACCTGATCAAAGGTCCCTGTTGACATATAAACATTGATTTTAAATGTTTTTTTTCTGTATACAGGCTCTCTCTAGCGGAAATGGACCGACTTTGTGCTGTAATAACTTATTTAATACCTGTTAACTTAATTTTATACACTTGAATATTTTGATTCTGACTACTACTACACTATAGTTGGTATCTTTGGATTAATCATTTTTACAGCAAACGAATAACATTAAGATGAGAAACTCTTAATTACT